ATCCTGATTTCTGGGGCCTCATATTCCGGAAATTCTGTTTCTTTGTTACTAATGTTGTGGCCCCACCCCATAACAAAGAAAGAATTTCCGGAGGATGAGGCCCAAAAATCAGGATTTTAAAAAGATTCCCAGGTGATTCTAATGTGCAGCCAGGGTTGAGAACCACTGGTCTAAAGTCATCTGCTTGTTCCAAAGATCAGCTGTGTCTACAAGACCTCTGAGTGTCCTCAATTTGAAATCCCATGTTGGAGTAGCTTCCAATTGTGTGGAATTCTAAATTACTTCTTCAGCTGTTAAACATGAATCCAAGCATTGACTCTGTCTGGCATGTCACTGTTGTATTTGCTGTTTACAGTACCTGATAAGGTCCTTTCCAATGAAGTCAAGAGCAGCAGTTTTCCTATGATGTCTCTTCCAATAAATGAAATATCCTGTTTGAAGATCATGAACAGATGGTTTAGGAAAATATGTTGGAAAGATACACTAAACCTATAAGTGAAAGAACTGGGTATAGTTCAAGAGTCCCTTGCAATATTTTCCCATGTCACCATGCAGTATGACAAGTGTCTAATATTGGAGTAAAATCCCCAAATGCATGGACCCTCCAGTTACTAATTCATAAAGGAATAACCAATGTGTCCCCAAGGGAGTGGCCATAGAAACTATAAAAGCTAGTGAAAGTACCTTTGGCCAAGGGAGTTCAGGGTTTCTGAAAGTTTTGCTGATTTGTATTTAAGGATTGCCATTGGTCTTTTCAATCTTTTCAGAAGATTGTCCTATATAATAAAAGGCTAATATGCAAATAGACCAAACAGCGGAAAAACCCACCAACCAATCTCTATGACATGCGATTGACCACCAGGGGGCACACGTGGAACATAGAGGGCATTGGCAGCAGGCGGCAGAGTGTTGAACATGGTGGGTGTAGGCTGTGGCAGGATGGTGGAGCAGGTGAGTGGGGGCACCAGACCAAGGCAGGGCGCCAGTCATTGTCATTTGGGCGAGCCTCTGGTGGTCACTGAAAATTCTTTGCTCCCATGCACCGTGGTCCCACAAGGCGTTGCACCTGCTTCTGGCACGGGCCCCACTCGCACCCGCAGCTGGCGCCAGAGCAGCCACTTGCACCTGCTGCCGGTTCCCAGTGCCGGTCCTGATCACCCCTGAGGGCTTCTCCACCTCCCCTTGCTCCTGAGGGGCGATCGGGGAAGCAGCTGCTGCTCACACCTGCTGACAGGACCAGGCCCACTAGCCCCCATTGCTGGCACCAGCCCCAATTGCTCGGCACCATCAGAGTGTGGGAGCGGTGGTGGTGGGAGCAGGGCTGCTGGTAGACAGGGAACTGGGACTACAGTGGGAGGTGCCAATTGGGGGTGTGGAGGAGGGCCGAGACCAGCCCCTGTGCCCACAGCAGCCTCACGGCCCATGGTTCCTTTCAAGGTACACGAATTCGTGCACTGGGCCCCTAGTAGGGAATAAGGACAGTACAGTTTCTGAGCAGAGAGTAATGTCTTACAGATTTTTGTGTAATGGTTTCTGTTGAGTGTGTACTCCCAATCACTTGATATAAAAGTTGGGATGCCCCAAGTGGAAACCACAAAATCAAGCAGCTTTTCAGTGGGCATAAGGTTTGTAGCTTTTCAGCAAGGAAATACTTAAGCCTGCCCTGAAAAATGATATACAATAACTAAAACATATTCAGATCCCATAGAGGTTGGATGAATTCCATCTGAGCTTGTTGAATGTGTCATTGAGGCCTTGGGTCCTTTTTCTATCCCACCTTCGCAGTTTTAAAAGGACTAAGTTGCTGACAGGTGATACATGACCTGAAAGTAGCCTCAGCTGTGTTTTTAAGGTTTCCTCACCAATGTTGATTTAAATTAACAATCCAATGAACAAAGTAAACTGACAAACAAAATAGAAATGAGGCCTGGAGACATGGAACATACTGACAGCTGTCAGAGGGGAGGAAGAGGGGGGACTGGATGAAAGAAGAGATTCGCCAAAGAATGTTATGTTTTTAAAAGTAAGGCAGAATATTGGATGCATTTTTCTCCCTCAGAGCACCCTCACTGACAAGAATTGAGGACATTTTTTTGTCTTGGTTTTCTTTGATAAAATTAGACCCTCCTCCACCCCCCATTTTCCTTTTTACAATATCTGCAAGAGTCCTTATCAATAAGTGGTGTTTGGGAAGTGGTCTACACAGCTGTTTGATCTTTAGGGCCATGACTTTATTTTGGATCTCATCTCATTTTTATTCTAAAGCCATTTCAAAATGTATGCCAGGTTTTTTGGATTTTTTTTTGGTTCAGATACAGGGGTTATTTCCCATTATCATTCCTTTCTGTGAATTAGATGACCAATATCAGGTTTAGCTCCACTGACAAAATGAGATGAAGGGGCTGCTGTTATATCAGCATTTTCTTCAACTCTCAGGTGCTTTTAGAAGATACTTTCTAGTCTATACTTAAAACCTCCTATAGTTTCATCTTTAATCTTTTTTACATGATTTAATTATGGTCCAATCGATTTTTATTAAAATGTTTCAGGTGTGGCTTCTAGGATACTTTGCCTTATTTTTAAAGCCACTTTTTGACTCTTAAGTTTATTGTGAAAAGAAGGATCCAGTAGGTCCCTTTCTGGGTAAATCCAATCAGCTTTTACCCACAGAACTTGAGGTTCCAACCAACCAACATGTGTACAATTTGGTACAGATCAAGTAACAATGGTCACTATTCAAATGCACATGTTATAAATTATTTTATGAATATTTGTTGGTCTTATCTATGTTTCAAGAAGTCATTACAACTTTTAATTCAGCTTGAGTCCAAGGTTAAAATTCTATCATTTCCTGCACACCTAGCACATGGTAAGGATGAATTTTTAGAGGCAACTGGCATTGATGGTTGTAGGATAGTTGGGAAAAGGGAAAAAGTCTGGACAAGGGAAAGAGAGGATGCTTGACAGAGATGTGAAAGAAAAGAGATCAGAATTGAAGGGTAAGAGGGAAAAAAGGGCAGGATGTAGGGAAGCAACTGGAGGACATAGAGGAGGATTTACTAGGTAAATTAGTCTACTTTGTTGCTGTGACATAAGTTTGTCAAATGGCTTGTAGCTTTGGCCAAATATTCTTTTAGTGGAGCAATTTTTTTATTCAGATTTTTGTTTGGAGCCTCTGAATACCCACCAAAAAATGCTGCCCATTTGGACTGAGAAGTCTTATTTCCTTTCTTTTATAAGGAACCTTTCAAATGAACAATTTGTTAAGTCCAATGCTCCCTAGGGTACCCACTGAAGGCCTAGTCATAATCATGTCATTGGGAAAGATAGATAAAGGAATTAGGACTGTAATGAGAGTAAATACAAAGAGCAACAATTTCCCTGGAAAAGGAGATTTGGGTTTAGATGAGCCTCTGAGAGCTGGCAATAGTTGGTACAAAGAAAATGCTGTGCATCTCATATGTCAGGTCCCCAAACTGATGACTGGTTGCCTCCAAACACAGACCCAACAATCTGCACCCCCAGGCAGAAAGAATGTTCTCTCTGAATGAAAAAATAAAGCTCTGAGGACTAAAACTGGAGGCAGAGGGAGAACCTCATCCAGTTTTATTGGTGACCTACAACAAAGTTTGTCCAAATGGACAGTTCTGATAACTACAGAGTCACTGGTCTGCAGACAGTCAGGACAACCGGCTGATAAGGCATATGCCTGTGTTCTACCCAGTGATTGTCCTTCTTATGACAGATAACACCTTGAGACAGCACACCACGAAATGGTAACACAAATGCAGCCAACGGGAATGAAAAGAATTGTTTGATTCCACTAAGGAGGTCAAACAAACGGGAACTGATAACAACACCTGGGTGCAGATCTGAGACTAAATAACCAATTCCACACAAAGATAGTGGAGGGTGGACCTGGTGCTGACTTACCACATTGTTGTGGGCTCGACAAGAGGTGAGCAGCAAAGCTCAAGGGCTTCCACACCTGGATGAAGACTGGAGTCCATGCTCACGACCAGTGGAAACTGTATCTTGGTGGAACCTCCAAGGAAACTATGGAAATAAATGAAGATCACCTCAATGAAAACAAGCAAATGCTATTTACTCAGAGCTTGCTATAGGAAGAGAGTCACCACCATCACCTGAGTTTGGCAGAAACTCATATGTGTGTAGTGTAGTGGGAAAGCGCCAATGCAGGGGTGGGGAACATCGGCCCGTGGACTGTATAAGGCCCACAAAATCATGTGATTTGGCCCAGCCAAGGCACTAGGGGTGAGTTAATGAAATGTTTGACCAAATATAGCAGGCTGATTTTTAAGTTGATAATTTTGTATAGCCCACGAATGATGTTGTAAATATCTAAATGGCTCTTGGCAGAAAAAAGGTTCCCTACCCCTGCTCTAGTGGGAAAGGGGAAAGGTTTCAGGTGTGCCCTACCTAGAGGCTGTTGGTATGAGAAGCTGGAAGCAGGCTAACTAGAAGTGGGTCATCCAATATAATTTGTTAGGAATACGTATTTGGCTTTCTATGGTCAGTCCTAAGTTAAAAGTAGGGGGGAAAATTAGGGAAGCTGGCAGTTACTGACTAGGACCTGATTTGGGGCTGATGTTGTAGATGGACTCTTAGACTGGTAGCTATGGAGGAAGTGTGTCAGAGTTTTACTTGTATAGGGTGTCCCAAAATTCACGCAAGATTTGAATTTTGCATGAGCATTAACAACAACAAAAAAATAAAAGCCTAATTTTACTTGGTTTATTGAATCAGATTCTAGTATCTGTTGCCTTTTGATTTCAATCCCTTCAATTTGATAAGCATTACCAAGTACCAATTATGGCCCAGGAGCAGGGACAATGAAGACCAATGAAGACCAGGGCTTTGCGTATGTGCCAGCAAAGCCGTGGAGACCATTTACCCGATGTGCTATTCCATACATAACCCTATACTGTATACTTTATGAATCAATAAAAAATTTATAATTTTTAATTATAAACCTGTGTTTTCTATCAAAATTACTTCTTGCATAAATTTTGGGACAGTATATATAATCTTGTCATTGCCTGTTTGTATATTTAATCTCTCACCTTTCACTGAGGTTTTCGAAGTTATGATGTTGACTGCTTTGGTGATGTTGTCCAAAGTGTTGGTTACCTCTCCAGTCAGGGCATGGGTGAGCTGAGAATTTCACCAGACTTCCACAGTAGTCCAAACAGCAGTTGATCCAAGGAAAGAGCTGTGCCGTGAATGATCAGCTGAAATGATGAGTCCTAGTCGTAGGCTTATAACAAGTCCTCAGGCTTGAGCTTGCAATGAGTCTTCAGTCCCAGGGGGCAAGCACCAGTTACAAGGCAACCTCAGAGTCTCAATAAGAATCTGGCAATCAGGTTTTAGCTCTCAGTGACTCCAAGTCAAGAAGAAGGAGAAAGAATGGAAATCTTAGTTTGAAGGCGAAGGTGAGTTTGTAGCCAGATATTGAAGGGGTCTGGAAGAGCTGAAAACCTGGCAAGGATTGACAGTCTGTGCAAGGTGGAAGAATCCAGTTCAATACCAAACTGATTTTCCCACAGTGAAAGAGAAAGCTTGGTTACTAGATCAGACAAAGTCAGTCGAAAGCGATTACAGAAAGGTGCAACATAGCTCAAAGACAATGAAGAGGATCAGAATCTGAACATCCAGAGAGTCAGCTATTATTTCCTATTGAAACAAAATTTCTCACTACAGTCTCTCTTACCATTCTGGTCAAAAACAATCTCAAAGATAAAGAAAAAAAAACATTTTTTAAAGGATCAAACACAATCTCAAAGAAGTTATTCTTGATCACAAAATAAGGCTGGTCTCATTACATGTGGCCTGGTTATTTGCATAGATGCACCAAGAATGACAATTTACCACATAGGTTTTAGATTTGCTTTGCTGGAAGTTTTCATAAAGAATCTCAGATTGGACTTTTCAAAGCCTCTTGAGGGTAGGAAGCCAAGCCAAGAATTCACCCCCACTTTTCACCTGCAGCACCCAGTGATTTGATGGGCATTCCTCTCTTCCCGAGGTCCCCCAAAGCAGCCTAAGATTCCTGAGCCCGCCAGGAAGTGACCTTCCTCACTCACCTGTAAGGCTGGGAACCCTATGAAGCCAGTTACCAGGCCAGTCTTCCCAAGAGAGACTTGGTAAGAATTAGCCCCCACCCAGTCAACCTTAGTGCCTAGAAGCATCTGGTCATAGCTGATTAAATGAGCATCATTCTCAAATATGACATCATAGGCAAAGCCTCGGTTGCATAACCAATGTTTCCAATTATGGTCCACTTGTAAAAAAGGTGGACGGACTCTTATTGAATCTATGCAGATAACTGTATTGCCATGAAAAGAAGAGTACTCAATAAGACTTTCAGAATTGTGGAAAGGTGAGTCAGGGTGGAGCAGATAAATGTTTCATAGCTGTTTACAAGAGCACAGTCTACTAAATTGTTATGAGTGATAGATAGCTTAATAGAAAGTGGTCCTTATACCCAGAGAATAGAACATTAGGGCATCAGCACTGTTCCAAACAAAGCCCATATCCATCCATCAGCAGTTCATTCAGTCCCATGCCATCAAACCTGCCTCACTCTAACTTGGATTAGCAGTCTCATAAATCCATCTTCTTCTCAACTAAGGTTCTGGAAATCCTGACTGAGTCCACCAATAACCAAAGTTATTTAAGCAATGCCACCAGGAGCCTGTGTGCAAGAGTAGCTGGCACAGTTCTTCCCCATGGGTCTCTGAGACTGTCCTTTTTGGCTGAAGACAAAGCATTCAGGCAGGTGGCCGATCATTTCTGTTTACAAGAGCACCATCTACTAAATTGTTATGAGTGATAGATAGCTTCACAGAAAGCGGTTCCTTATATCCAGAAAATAGAACATTGATGCATCAGCTATTCCAAACAAAGTTCATATTCACGCAGTTTATTCAGTCCATTCAGTCCTAGGCAATTATTTTTTCTTCCACTTGAACTTGAGTCAGTAGTCCAATGAATGCACCTGCTTTCCAATAGAGGTCTGTAGCTCCTGACTCGATCCACTGGTGTGATTTTGTAGTTGCTTAAGCAATGCCATCAGAAGCCTGTACCCAAGAGTCCCTAGTATGGTCCTTTCCACCAGGCTCTAAGACGGTCTTTCTTTATTGAAGATGGAACTTTCTGTCCTACAGCTCATTGCATTCAATTTCATAGAAACATCAGGAGTCAAACAAAACACAAACAAAACTATCTATAGATGTCAAAAGACTAAAATTGGCTATTATTTACTTATTGATATTTTTCAAAAGGGAATAATCTAAAGAGGGTTTGTTACAACAATAATGCAATTAACAAGCATATCTGGTTGTTTCTGTGGCATGCGAAACAAAGTCAGTCCAAAAGAATGTTATACAAAATATCTATAAACACAAAGAGTTAAGTCTATTTTCAAAAAAAGGTGGATATTATATCTAGTTTATGAAAATGGAAGGACATCCTCTTCACAGAGAAAACATTTTCAGATATAACATATAAAAATCCTGAGACATTGGATGCCACCTATAACTAGCACATCCTTAGAATATGAAAAGTCTATCAAGCTTCTCAAGTAAATAGATTCAGCACATCTGGAATTGGTTTTAAACATCAATAGATTAATAAAACTCCACAGATAAGTGTTATGAATTCCAAATAGAAAACTACTGGCCTGCAATATATTAGATTCAAATTAAAGAAGTTACAACCAAGTTAATGTTTTCAAAAGTAATTGAAACTATGACCAATAACACTATGCTGCTTTTGTCTTATAGGCAAAGAACACAAGGACTTGGGTAAATAGAAACAAATCATTAACAGCAAAAACATTGACAATACTCTGGAACTTTCTCATACAGAATACAAGTGTTTAAATATTAATGTTAATAACATTTTACCCACACAAATTTAACCTAGGAAAGTTTAAGCATTTCTTCAGATTTGACAGTATTTTTAATGTAACTCATCATCGGCAACATATCAAATAGTCCTAAGTATTTCTAATATTTCTCTTTTCACAATGGGAAAGAACAAATCTTGGTGATTTTCCAGGGACTCTCTTGGAAATCACAAAGGCAATTTTAGGTGTTGACAAGGCTAATCAAATTTTGAGCTTGACACAACGTTAAGACCAAGGGGCCTTCAATTCTATGATAACTTCCTGTACTTTAACTTGTTTGTTCCATCTTAGGTGCAGATTTGGCCCATGTGCTTAACCACAACCAACATTTCCATTTCCTGTCTTGATTTTTTGGTTAGCAGAATATTTGAGGGAGCTTGTTAAGTTTCAAAAAACCCCTCCCACCACCAGCTTCACCACCGCCCTCCCTCCTACGTTCTACAGCTATCTCTGCATTTAAAGGCTTTGTCCACTCATCTCTTCCCTGAGACATTTCTGGCTTAGTCTTTGAGCATCTTCCTATTATAATACTCTCCTGCTCCCACTGCAGTATCCTCTTAATGAAATCTTTCATGCTCATGTCCAGATTGTATTTTTTTCTTTGACAGTAATGATGCCATGACTCTAATGGAGTATTGACTACCCCTCGAACCCTGCTTTCTTCACTCATGCATTAAGGCTGTTCTATTACTCTGTGTCCTTTCCTGGCTGGGGACATCGGGATCCACAGTGGTAAGTGATACCTCCTAACCCAGTGTTCCAAATGTTTGTCTATTGTCGCATGGTAAGGACTTGATTTTATTTTCCCTTTATTTTTGTCTTTTTTCTTCTATTTCTCTGTCTTCTTATTCTGCCATTTTTTAGTATGGTTAAAGCCCCTGATTCTCTCCCTGGAAATTGTACCTGGGCTAAAGTCCGAGATTGTCAGTCTATTGGTTGTCCCTCAGATCTCTTCATTGTGGGGTATGTCCTACAACATTGTGGTATCAATTCCACCCAATGGGGTATGTCCTACAACACTGTGGTATCAATTCCACCCAATTTCTTAAAAAATGGCAAAATTTTAGTAACGACCATTTAGAATTCCAATGGCCTTTTGAGGAACTTTTTCTCTCCTCTATCCCTCTCCTGAATTTTAGACTATTTGGGCTCATTCTGAGCAGAGCTCTTGAATCCACTGATTCCAATATCTCACCCAACAATGAACTGCTTTTATTGTTTGGTAGAAAGAAACAGAAAAATGTCTCGCCCACAAAAATGTTTCAGAGACGATTGTTTCTCTCAAAGAACATCCTCCTTCCTCAACAACTTTTAAGACCTGTCTCTTCTCATCACTCATCCTCCCAACTTCCCCTTTCTCCTTCTTCCCACCCTTAATCTCCCTTGAACCCTTTGGTTTCCCCCTTCACCACCTCTACATCCCCCCTACTCTGCCCACCCTTGTCAGACCTTTCCTTTCTCACTCCAGCCCTTCAACCTCCCTATAGTCATTGGAGACTTAAGTCCCTCTAACACTGCTGGGCTCCGGGGGAGCTCAGAGACATGAAGAGCAACAGCCTGAAAACACTAATAGGAAACAGGCTGGGTAATTTTCCCACTCAGATGGACTTCAGAGACCCCAGATGGCTGCGTGGTCTCTCCTCCATCCCTCTCCCGAAAATTAGTCCGCAGTCTCCATAGGATTGCTCATCATGGCAAAGGACATCTTCAAGGTCTGCTCCACAAACTCTAGTAAATATGCTTTAGCCCTTATATTGAGCTAGTTACTTCCATTTTCCCCATCTGCCAGAAATATAATTATTGTAAAAATGTAAAAAAAAAAAAACAACAAAAAAACCCAAATGTAAAAGTGAGGCAAGAATGCAAGTCAGCTCTTTTACATGAGCCAGTGAGTTTTGGATTTGGGGGTTTATGCCTAAACCATGGCTAAATTTTTAAAATTAAAAACTAAAGCTGTAAGTTACCTGTCTGTGTTCTTCTATATGTGTGTGCATGTAAGTGTGTATATATGTGTGTAGAATGCATGTGTAATATTTTCCTAATTACAAATTGCATTACCACATTAAATTATAAAATTATTTTTAGAAGCTCCTCCTGTTTTATTTGCTAAGAGATAAATAAGAGGCTACAATTTTTAATATTCCTAAAATTCTCAGAAGCTAAGGAAATTAAATTTCTAAAATACACAATATGTGGAGGGGTATTCTTACATAAACTTCCCAAAATGTTTTAAAAATTCAAGCTCACATGATATGAGTACATCTTTGGCAAATGAGACGAGTTTGATGTTATTGGTTTAATAAATACATCTAGGTCTTCTGAGTTGTCAACCTTGCAAAAATACATTTTTATT